AACTAAGTCTTGAAAAATGTAAACTACTACCCATTCGAAACGTCTGGATGTAAAAGGATGCTAATTTAATCAGTGCCTAGTCAGTGTAACGGCAATCCTTTTCATCAACCCTTTAGGGGTGTTTCCAATACACATGGTATTTTTAGTTTTGATTGCACTTAATTTTGTTTGTACTGTTTTTGGTTTTATCACTTTAAAGAATTTTTATTTTCGTCTCTCCTTTCTAATTTTTCCGGTATAATTTCTTACAATCGCCCCTCCCATGCGCTATTCTATTACGTTTCCAGGCAACAATGATTCGCGGCTAAAGTTTTCGGCAGTCATATTGTCACAGTTATCAGATGTCCAACGACCCAGAGCCATATTGGCACATCAGAATAGCCCCGACCAGCAGCATAACGCGCACCACCAATACGAAAGACCATGACTTTTGTAAAAACTAGTATCTAAAGCACAGGAAACTGAGCACTGCTGTAATTTTGACGTTAAATTGGTGCGTAGAAATTGGATTTTAATCAGCATGCGGAATAGAGGACCACAACTCCTTCCCCGCAATTCTCATTACTGAATAAGGGCTTTAACGGTGCAATATCCGGAGAAGTCCTCTCGGGCAATTAAAATATCAAAAGACCGACGGCTAGTGTTATGCTTCTACTCTGAAATCGTAATTTTCGCCCTGTGAATATGGCCATCGTGGGACAAGAAAGTCAGGCTACTGTATCGCACAACTGTATCGCACGACACAATGCAAAATCAAGTGCTTTTACACTTTTCACGATTTTCATTGCTTTAATGTTAGTTACTTGCTTCAAATCCAATAAAAAGTTTAGAAAAAGAGGAATTCGAAAACTTATGATGGTGGGCTGTTGCATTAGGCTACTGGTATAACGGTAAAGCAAAAATTACTATAGCAAACTAGAGTAAGAGTAGTTCTGGCTGATTACAACTGCGAGTTGCTCCTCAAAAGTAATGGATTTGTTAACAATGACCTTGTAGTATGATCGTCTGGGTAAAACTATAGTCTTGGGAAACTTCTGACGATGACTTTTGCTTACGGTTGTTGATACGCTACTACTAACAACAGTCCTCTCCAGTACTAACAGTGCAAAAAATTGCTTAATCATTCAGGGTCATTCTGAGCAGTGCAATGCATAAGTAACTCGTTTTTACTTGACACGCGCACTTTAATACTCTGCTGATTTTTTTTGATGACTTAATGCTACTAGAAGTTAGTGTTTCTTGTTTCCGAACAGAAAAGAAGAATTAAGGGTTGCAAAAACCGAGAGGAAAACAAACAAAAAAGCCACTACGTAAAACAGGTTTACGCTTAAGGGAACGGGTAGAAAATTATTGATATTTGGATCTGTTTTGATAAATCAAAACATATGAAAGGGACAGTTGATAATCAAAACTTTTGAATTGACATATCGTAGCGTGCGGGAGACATCGGCCAGGCTTTTACGCAACATTACTGAATAACGTTCGCGATCGTGCCTGTAATTCAAATTGCCGTTCGAAGGTAAAGCCAACTGTAATGGGCGTTTACGAAGTGGAGCGCAATGTGGCAGAACGAGTTAAAGGAAGAAAAGCAGAATACTTCATCCATTGGCAGAATTACCCCCGATTAGGCACGCAGAATTAGGTGGGAACCAGCCGATGAAAGTAGAGAGAGATTGTCTCTACTATTCGAGAAGGGTTAGAAGATGCCCCTCGCTTGAAACGAAACCATCACCCTGCGGTATGATGCACTGGGAGCGATCTTTCCTGGGTTACCGTTAGACTCTCCGGAGGAGTCTATACCTCGCCAGTGAAGACTTAGCAAGTCGCCTGCCTTCCTAGACGAGCACGGTCGCAAGACAGCTTCCCATCTAGTGGAAAGAGTTCAAGTAAAGTTCACGAAGAGTTATTTCGCCGGAAATTTGCAGTGAACAGAAAGCTGCGTTATAAAAACGGCTTCTTTAGAAGCCACCAATCGTGATAAAAGCTTATGGCCAAATTCTCTCTTGTTAAATAAAGTTAACCTTCTTGATGATTTTACGCAAATCACAATCTCGATAAGAATAACACTTTTTCCTTTTCAAAACAATCAAGTCAGAAGCATTTTTTCTGGTGTTCAACCACCCAGAGCCATAATTGCGCATAGGCATAACCCTGATCAGCGGTATAACACGCAACACCAATACGACTATGACTTTTGTAACAACTAGTATCTAAGGCAGAGGAAACTAAACTCCGTTGTAATTCAACATTAAATCGGTGAGCAGAAATTGGATTCTGATCAGCATGCGGAATAGAGGACCAGAACTCTTTCCTCGCAATTCTCAATATTGAATAAGCGCTTCAACGGAGCAAGATCCAGAGGAGTCCTCTCGCGCAATTAAAATAGCGAGCTTAAGATCCGACGACCGCAAACATCTGGGACGGTAAGCGGAAGTGAAGTTACCGCCAGAATTACTTCCGTTTGCCGTCGTTGTGAGGTTTCCCGCCGTAGCGCGCTTTATCTTAAGGCTATTTTTCGTGCCAATGCAACGGCGATCTCTCTCCAAGCCCCCTCGACCAAGTCTGCCGTCCCAGATGTCTGCCATCGTCGGATCTTAAGCTCGTTAATATCAAAAGACAGACGGTTGGTGTTATGCTTCGACTCTGAAATCGTAATTTTCGCCCTCTGAATATGGCTATCGCGGGACAAAAAAAAAGTCAGGCTACTGTATCACACGACAGAATGCGAAATCATGTGCTTTTACACTTTTCACGATTTTCATTACTTCAGAGTTAGTTAATTGCTTCAAATCTAATAATAAGTTAGAAAAAGAGGAATTCGAAAACTTGCGATGTTTTTCTGTTGCATTCGGCTACTGGTGTAACGGTATACGAACTACAACAAGTGTCACTGGTCTCCAAACATGATACATACACCTCTCTGTTGATGATAGAAAAAGAGCTACTAATGGCTTTGATTCCGTCTTTTTGACAGCATAGCAAACTAGAGTAAGTGTAGTTCTGGCTGATTAAAAACTGCAGGTTGCTTATCAAAAGTAACGGATTTGTTAACAATGACTTTCGGTAGTGTGATTGTCCGCGTAAAAGTATAGTCTTGGGAAAAGTTCTGACGATGACTTCTGCTTACGGTTGTTGAAACGTCGTACACTGCTACTAACAACAGTCCTCTTCAGTACTACTCTCACCTGAAAGACCATACTACACGATCATATGATACTCACGGGTTCAAGCAATTGAATGTATCACTTAAAATGAAGTAGAAAAGATCGGCCAGTCTTGTAACAATTTGCCTACTGGACTGCTCAAATGGTGAACATGACTGCTTATTATCCAAAACCTTTTGACCCTTCAATTAAACAACGTAATTTTCATTTATTGCTTGCCTTTCGAATGTGCAGTACATTTCATTTCATGCGTTACAACGTTCAAGGGGCGTGCACAGGAGTTTTTCGAAGAGTTTGACTAATGGTCGCTTGTCGCAGGTCGCCACTTTCATCCTTTTTAAGTCGCAGATTTAATAAGTGGTGTCAAGATATGCGCTTTTCACTCCATTGTACCCTGAATATATCGGCCTTTTTGTTTAAAATGGATCAGTTCTCTTCAGAGTTTTATACCGTATTTTGGAAATTTTTCGGGAACTTTCTTAAAATGCTTTTGAACCAAGGCTATCCGAAATATTTTATTCAAATCGATTGAGAACACTTTAGTCCAGTCTTGTCTCTTGTCTGTTTCAATTTTACTTCTGTTCCAAACTGAATTGTACTAAAATATATATTTACATGATAAGTTAAATTATGCTCGCATTTTCATTATTGCTTCATTTACTCGCGTTCTTTCGGAGGACAGACGCATATATGACGTCATCATTAACAACGTGTTTCTTGTTTATTAGATAAAACAAATAAATTCTATGTTGTCATGTGTCTTTTGTTTAGGATATATACATACAAATTTATATACAGCTTAAACCTGTAAATATATTTTAATCTTTCTGTGACAATGTTTTAAAGTCAAACTTTGTGATCAAAGCAAGCGTTACATGAGAAATTTGGCAATGTTTCAGAGGCAGAGAAACTGCTTGGCCAACAGGATAAACCAGAAGGTGAACTGACTGAGAGTACAACTAAGGAGTGTGAAGGTAACTCAAAATCAATGTGCTTTTGTATTTCGTTAGTTTGTTCGTTTCAGACATTTAAAATTCAAAAAGAAAACCTGTTTATGTTTAAGTAATCTTTGCAGAAAGAAAGAATTTTTCACAAATTAAGTCTTGAAAAATGTGAACGACTGAATTGGATATATGTTTATCCTTTCCGAAGAGACGTCGACGAAGCAGATTTTTGAACAAACACTAAGTTCAATTACGTTTTAAGTTTTTTTTTGTCAAAAATTCTGGTTGCCTTCTCTTCTGGTTTTTTAAGCGAGGCACGTATCTATTTATACTTTTACAAAAATATGTACCAATCTGAAAGCAAAATGACACAACTAAATTATCAGGTTTGATACGGCAAGAAAATAGTTGACGACTGAAAAACGTTTCAAATCGTGGAAGAAATAGTGGTTAAACGACTTTCCTATGTGATGAACGGGATTTGTGCCTAAGTACTGATACCGCTGATAATCGGTTTGGCTTTGCAAATTACACGTACTTTGTTCCGACACCTTTCACGATATTTATTGCCTTACAGTTAGTTGCTTCAAATCCAATAATAAGCGCAGAAAACGATCAATTTGAAAACTTAGGACGTTTGGCTGTTGACTTAGGCTGCTGAAGTAACGGAATACGAACTAAAGCAATGTCTAATGATAATCTTGGTAAAATTAGTCTTGAGAAAACTTTGACGCTCACAACATTGTTGGCCAACAAGACGCAACATTGTTGGGCCCAACATGTTGCGAGCGTTTGCACACCATGTTGTGTGTTGTTGCATGTTATTGCGACTTGTTGGAAGTTGTTGGATGAAGTTTGCAACTGGTCAAACTTCAGAGCCACTCAACAAGTGCCAACATTTCTATTGTTTCGCGGTCATCGAAACGTGGTCCAACAATATTGCGTTCGTTTGCACAGCACATCTAACAATGTTGTGCCGGCGCGCGCGCACTACATGCCACGTATCCATTGAGATTTCAAAACACAAATACATGCGAACAAGAAATCAATATGGCGTTGGAGATGGAAAACGTGAACGAGGAAGTAATCGAGGAATTAACAGCAACCAAAGCCAGAAAGAAAGCGGCTAGTGACGGAAAAGACAGAGGAAGAGGTAGAAGGTAGACGGAGCCGGAAATCGATCAACTGATCAATCTTCTTGAGGAAAAAGATTGCATGTGGGATGTCAAAAGAAAGGACTACCACGTGCGAAACAAACGCGAAAGAGCTTTCGAAGAGATGAGAGACATTCTGGACATTGACGTTGCAGAAATCAAGGCGAAGATTGCTAGTTTGTGTGCTCAACTTGGCCGAGAGGTCGGGAAAACGAAGACAAAACGATCTGGCCAAGGACTAGGCGAAAACTACAAATCCAGTTGGATTTATTTCTTTTTTTTCTTTTAGTTTATTGAAGCTTAATAAGAAAGAAAGCTTAATAAGAAAATTACAAATTACAAATTAATCTAATTAATTTAATTATTCTAATTATTATTGATCTAAGTTACACTTTCATGTTAATGAAAACCGTTCACGCCCGCCAATAGCAGGAGCTCGTCGAGGCGGGCGAGAATTAGAGGTACAGCAGTGGTGATAGAGTACAAATAAAGCTTAAACATGAATTAATAACATTTCCAGAAAAAGACAGCCACTTATGACTCGTATAGACAACTTCATCATTAAACATAAGAAAATAGTAACACTACAATGTAGAATATAAATTATAAAGCCAGTTTATAATTAGTAATTTTTTTAAATAGAAGGGGCGATTCAACGTAGTAATCCTCAGCCTCTAGGAACAAAAATTATATGTCCTTGAAGAGTTTTTTGAAAGCTCACCTCGGGAGTTGACGAAGAGTATCGCAAATGGTGTTCCAAAGTTTAGTTCCGAAGCTAGCAAAAGAGCCCTGGCTTTGATTCAGTCTCAATGGATTAATATAAAAATTGCCGAAAGAAGAGAACCTCGTATCGTGATTACGCTTTTCAGTAGCTTTAATGAAAAGATTACTAATTTTAGTAGGTACAGTTAGACATGAGACATCAAACATAATTGAGGAAACGGATTCAACGTATAACACAGCATGAAATGATGAATTTACGTATCTTTAGCATTTGCGTAAAGATCCGTAAATATATGGCGTTTTCTTTACGGAAAAGTAACGCATTCCGTAAAGACGCGTAAATGCAAGGAACGCGTAAAGAATACGTAAACAATGTTACATATTCGTAAAGAATATGGGTCAAAGATGGATACAACTCACTGCTTTCTAATTAGTAACCCCCCAAAAATTGACATAATCGTGTTTCGTCTGTCTTAGGTAAAACTTTATGTATTTTGAGCAATTTCGCTGGACGGACAGTTAGAAATATCGGTGATCTTGGTTCCCAGCCTTTCGCTATCGAGATATTCCTGAGCCGTAAAAATTTTCGCTGTGGTGTGATCGCTAGGTACAAGGAATCAAAGAAGCTGAATTCCTTCGGAACAATTCGAGAAAAGAAGGCTCATATCCAGGCTGAAATGTGGTCGTCCAACAAGGAATTGCAAGACGGCCTGCTTCTTTCAGATTTAAACAAGGAATTTATGGGCACAGAGAAAACCTTCGACGAGAATCTGCAGCTGCATGTTGTCTCTGAACACAAGTGGGACAAGGCGTATTGGCTCAACGCGCCGGAGGAACGAATGACGGAGCTGAAATCAAGA